CCTAGGCCGCACACTAACATTAAGTTCAAAAATCTCACACCTGGCTCAGCAAATCATGCAAGCAATAAGAAACTAGTTAAATACATTAATAGAAAGTAAAAGTTCTTTAAGAAAATCGCGTAAAGGGGCTCCGTACGCGAAAAGCCGAAGGGCCCAGTGGAAACGCCTCGGACACTAAGTCCGCCTTAGTGGCACACTAGTTATCAGGGCCTCAGACCTGCTGATAACTTTCAAAGTGGACATTAACTTCCGAGCGGGAAAATTCATAGTCAGCCATTTTCCTTCTTCATGGCCCTACGTTGGCTTTTGTATTTTCCTTTATCCACAGCCGCAAATAGCCCGCTAACCAGTGGAATTCACAGCAGGACCGGTCGAATTGCCCACATTCCAGCAATTTGCCGACCAAACTGTAATGATTTGCGCATTAAATTACACCCACTCTTACTATAACAATGGTTTGGTGCCTTTATAGCAACCTGTCGTATGGTTCCGGGGCGCTTAGTGGAAACACCTGTCCACTGCCACACACTAAGTCCACGTTAAAGATAATGTCCAAAAGTTAGTGTGCGGCCAAGTGGAAATACCCTGTTAATGCTAGTGTGCGGCCAAGTGGAATCACCCTGTTTGTCAGACAATTTAATGCAACCCTAGACCATATTTTTAAGCTTAGTAATCTTTTCTTCCTTGTCTCTCAGCCAGCTTCTGATGTCGGGCTCTGCAGATCGGGAAAGTTGGGAACGAATGCTTCCTCCAGTCGCCAACTGGAGCAAGTTCCTTTCAAGTAATCTGCAACCTAACAAAAGGAGAAGTACTGTAAACGTATGCTGCACCTCATACTTTGACCGTAATAACGGAAAAGTGTACGGCATCCATATGTTAGACGGCAAGAACCAAGCAGGCGTGTTACATCCTAATTACTTAACATTATATGTTACCTATCACGTAAATGAAAATGTCGCCGCGACGGTTCCCTGTCTTCATACTTTCTGTGTTTGCTCTCTGAGGGCTACAGAACCGGCAGACCAACCGCCAAACGCTTCAACGATCTCAAACGGTACTCCCACCGCCCGAGCAGCGGAAGCGCCACCACGACGCTGGCTATAGGGAGAATGCACCCCGCGCATATGAGGCAAACCACACTCTGCAAGGACTAAGTCAAACCAACGCTCAGCACCACGCGTAGACTGACCCGCCGGCCACAACCGCGACGGATCACGCAAAAAACGCTGACGGACAGCCCACTGCAGGGAAACGGGCAACCAAACGGCAACCAAATGGCCCTTCCAATTGAGGGGTTTGTACTGAACAACTTGCTCCCCTTGAACGACAGCAACACGCGCCCAGGTTACCGACAGCAGAGAGTCTGGGCGAAGCAAGAGACAGAAACTCAACACGACGAACAACAACGGCAAGGCTAACTCGGAGCCAACGGGTACCACGGCCAACTGCTCATAAAGATGCCAAGCATCACCTGCACTAAAGGCCAACACGAGCGCGGAAGCAGGCACCGTTGAGTGCTGCAAGCACTCCCAACCTCGATGGAACGCGGCCAACAGGGTGTTGTCTCCGGCACAGGGCTTAGGGTACCCGAGCAAGTCATGCACGGAGATGATAGCACTGAAATAAGGCTGCGCTCTGCGGACTTGGATGGAGCCCTTGGCAGCGAGAAACTGACCCCACAAGAGCCCGGCATAATGGGAGGCCAGGAGAAACTCCAAACCTTCCCCCACACAGAAACACACAAAGGCGGCAAAATGCGACGCATACGACTGCCAGGTTCTGGCGCCAACACGAGACATGACAACCTGAGCAATCTGCAAAAGACGCGCAGAGTGATCCAGACTAGGAGCCGCGAGCTGCAGCTGCACCAACAACAACTTAGTAATGACGGGGCGCCGCAACCGACTGAAGATCCAAAGAGTAGCGGGGAAGCGCCACACTATCCGCCCGAGTGCTACACGATTGCGCCCAAGCTAAAACTGCACCCGTACTGCTACGACCTCCCAAGACGGGGGGGGGAGGAAAGTGCTCGACCCGCCCTCGCCCGGTGCAAACATCTCCGTATTCGACGGCAGGAACACCAGGAGTCCGCGGTGCTGCTGGCGCCTCGGGCGCCGCGGGTGCCAACGACATCTGCCGCTACTGTGGACAGCCTGGTCTCTACGTCCGCGAATACCCTGTTAAGCTGGCGGACGAGTCCGTTGGTCTCTACCGCAGCAATGCATTCGAGCAGCCATGCAGTGCCGGCGCCGGCAGCAGTGGCAGCGGCAACCGCCATCGTGACGGCGGCGGCGGAGGCACCGGCAGCGGCAATGTCAGTAACAGCGGGGGCGACAGGGCACGTGAACGCGGCCATGTTGGACGCGGCAACGGCCGCCGCAACGGCAGCGACACTGCAGGCGGAAGCAGTGGTGGCGGCGGTGGCGGAAGAAGCTCACGCCAGAACCGTGCCACGGTGCTGGTCGTCGATGGCAGTGGTAGCAGTTCATGTGTTGTCCTAGACTCTGGCTCACCTTACCACCTCACGGGTGACCGTTCCTTGATGCACAATTACATCCCTGTCGGTGCGCCTCAGCAAATCAAGTGGGGAAACAATCAGCTAGCCGACGTCATGGGAACAGGGCAGTTGCTCCTAGGACGCGCGATGGGGAATCTGTCTGGCTGCGCAACGTGCTGCATGTCCCCAGCTCGGGACACACACTCATGTCTGTCGACCTTCTCGTGACGCGCGGCTGCTCGGTCACGTTCGCACAGACAAGACGGGCCGCCGGTTCTCGCGTGTAGGCCTCCCGCAAAGCAGCTTGTCTATCACCGCATGGAGCGAGTGGGGGCATTACGTCATGGATGTGGACCTGCTGGCGCCGACCAAACGCGCCGTCAACGCGCTCGGCGCCGCGGGAGACAGAGCCGGCGCCCCCAGCACCCGCGATGGCAGCACAACCAGCAGTGACGCCGGCGGAGACCAGCCGAACAACGGCAGCAACACCAAGGGCAACTGGGCGCCACTGAGTGCTCAGTCGCCGAACTCGCAGCAGCGCAGCGCCTGCAACGCCAGTTCGGCCACCTTGGTTACCGGGCGCTGGAGGAGCTCATCACGAAGACCACAGCTACAGCCCATGTCAGCCACGGCAACCGACCTCAGCATGCACTGGAGGTCGTGCACTCTGACCTGTGCAGGCCCATGCCGACCACGGGCCGAGGTGGGGCACGTTACTTGCTAACGCTGCTGGACGGTGCCTCCGGTTTGTCTGCCGTTCACACGCTGGTTAGCCAAAACCAAGTGGGCAAAGCGCTGCAGGACATGGTGACGCAGCTGGAGGGTACGCACACTTCATAGTGACAACGGTGGTGAGTATGTCGCCGAGCAACTGGAGCAGTGGCTACACCAGCACGGCACTGCGCACACCCACTCGGCGCTGTACACCCCGGAGCAGAACGGAGCAGCGGAGCGGCTCAATCACACGCTCCTCGACCGTGTGCGGGCTATGCTGTACGATGCCGCCCTCTCGGACAGCTATTGGCCGGAGGCTTTGCTCTACGCCAACCTCCTGCACAATGTGGCTCCCTCTCAGGGAGGCCACGCCGTGGCCACTTGTCCCCGTGGCCTCCTGGCGGTCGCCCAGCGGCACGTTGAGGTGCCGGATCTGCTTTGTGATGGTGCCACATCCGCCGGCGGGCATCTCCACCTCGGCCATGCAAGACGCCCGGGGTGTCAGGATGAAGGCGCCACCCCTGCTTGCGTAGTCTCCAAGGCCCTGCAGCACGGTCTCGGGGATGTGGCCGCTCACAGGCCGCACAATGACGGCCGCTGGCAGGTACTTGAGCCAGCGGTATGGCCCACGGCCGTCATCTGCTGGCTCGCGGCCATCCTCAAGCAAGCCGCAGGCTTCCACTTCGTTGTTGTGACTCGCCCCGGCATCAGCTGCCGTCGTGTCAAGGAGGATGTAACGGGCGCCATGGTAGTACCACGTGTCGGCGGTGGTGTGGCCAAACTCGTCATCCTTGATCCACATCACAACTGCTTTCTCCACGTGTGTTAAGGGCGGCTCCACAGCGGCGCCCCGCTTCTGGACAGGGACGTGGTCGGCGTTCCACACCATAAGGTGCTGGTTCTTGCGGTTTGCCTCCAGCATGATGAGCCGGGTGTTGAGCGTGTGGCGTGGTTCGTTCCTCTGCAGCACGACGCGCGGCTCAAGGTGTGCCAGGTCTGCCAAGTCGATGATGGCGCGGCTGTTGAGGTCGTCAACCATCTCTGCTATGCGCTGCTCGGTGGCTGGCTCGCCGCCGAACATAGAGGCGTACTCTGTCAGGCGACGACCAGAGGGACTGCTGTCCTGGCGCTGCTGCTTCTCCAGCAAGAAGACCGTCTTGGCCAGGGCTCGGTAGACCCGGAAGCCCTCGAGGATGCAGCTCTGGGTCTGTGGGACGGCCCGGGTGTGGCGTGTTGTTACTTCGGCTTGCTGTTTGCCGCCTTGAGCTCCAGCAGCAGCATCGTTAGGGACGCCATTGTTGTCATCCTCTCCGTGCAGAGGTTGCGCAGTCGGGACGGAGGGTGAGGACTGGGGGTTGTGTTCCACAGCGGCGGTGTACCGGTATAGGGGCGGCCCACCTGGCTTTGGGTGCTGGAACTCATCGCCTGTGTTGGCGCTGGGGCGGCTGCTGAAGATGGTGGCGGCGGGGTGGTCGCCGGCGAGATGTGATGGCGGCAACAGGTGATGGGTGCATGACTGGTTGCACGCGCCCAGGTGGTCTAGGCTGTTCATGCCGATCTCATCAATGATGAGCGCACCAGTGCCGGCATTGCGGTGCACCTGTAGGCTGGCAGCGCTGCCTTTCCTGACACTCTCCGCTTGGTTGTTGCCAGCGGAGAGGGCAAACATGGCGTGGGTGGAGAGGCTGCGGTGCACTGGCGTGTTGAAGGCAGCTGCGGCGGCCCAGGAGTAGGCGCAGGTGGCCGCCCAGTGCGGGCAGCCATGCTGGAATGTGTACCAGAGCAGCGCCTGTATGAATTGGGTCTTTCCGGTGCCGGGCTTGCCCTCCACCAGCATCTGCGGTGGGTCGCCAGGGTCAGGCTCATCATGGCGGTCGAAGTACTGGGCCATAAGCATGAAGGGCACGGCCTGGTGCGGGGCGAGCGTGAAGAGCTCGATGGTGCCATCGATGCTGGGCGGCTGAGGGAGGTGTATATAGATGGGCATGTGAGCCTGTTCAATCCGCTCAGGGGTGTCAGGCATGCGCACGATGGCGACCAGGGGTCCGTTGGTGGGGCGGTGCAGCTCGAGGCGAGGTGTGTCCATCTCAGGTGTGTTTGTCAGGCCTGTGTGGACGCCCCCGTCTGCCTCAACAGTGCCAGCTGCTGCTGCGACGAGGTACCGCTTTGGCGGCCCACAAGACGGCCAGGAGGCCACCGAGAGGCCACGCCGTGGGCAGCTTATCATGGCGTCACCCCCGACGTCAGCCACCTGCACACCTTTGGCTGCCTGGCCTACATCCGCATCCCAGCCAGCCAGCAGGATAAGCTCGGTCCCCGCGTGAAGGCGGGAACCTACCTTGGACCGGAGCGCAACACGGCCGCCCACCGCGTCCTTGTTGACGGCAAGGTGACTGTTAGCAGCGATGTCACCTTCGATGACGACCACCACGGCCCGGCATCTCAACGGGCGGGCACCCCCTTCGGCACCAGCCCCGCCCGTCCTGGCGGCAGCAACCCCGTCGGCGGCTCAACACAGCCTGCCACACCGCCAACTCAAGTGGATGCCCCGCCCCCAGTGAACCCAGCGCCCCCCCTCCACCCCAACACTTGCAGTCAACGGCAACCGCTGCACCAGCCGCTGGCCCCGGTCAGCCTGGCCAACAACAGCAGCGGTGGCGGCGGAGATTTGGGTAGTCCACCGCTGCTTAACAAAGCGTCGGGTAGCACTGATCGCGCTGAGTTTAACGTGGCCGACGGCAGTGCCAACGGTGGACACAATAGCGCTGCACAGGAGCTTAACATGCCCGACAGCAGTGCGGACAGCGGAGGCCACAGCGCGGTGCAGGAGCCGCGCAAATACGAGGAAGCGGTGGCGAGTCCGCAAGCTGACAAGTGGAAGAGTTCGATGGATGACGAGATCCTGTCGCAGCTCTCCAACAAAATATGGGAGTCGGGCACACCGCCGCCCGGTGCACGCATCCTGGACTGCCACTGGGTTTACAAGGTCAAACAGGAGCCAGGCAGTGAGGTACGCTATAAGTCGCGTTTGGTGGTGAAGGGCGTTGAACAGCGCACGGGCATAGACTACGGAGAGCTGTTTGCGCCCACCACGCGTGCAGCCTCCCTGCGGGCACTTCTAGCTGTGGCAGCGGCCAGGGGTATGACGGTCCATCAGATGGACGTCAAAACGGCTTTCTTAAAAGGCGACCTAGCAGAGGAGCTGTGGATGCGACAGCCACCAGGTTACAGCAACGGCGACCCGACGCAGGCGTGCCAGCTGTTAAAGTCCGTCTACGGCCTCAAGCAAGCCCCATGCTGCTGGTACGAGAAACTGGCGGCGGAGTTGGGCAAGCTAGGCTATGAGCCGTCTATGTCCGACCCCGCACTATTCGTCAAGCGCGGGTCCGACGGCTCAATTTATGTGCTCGTGCACGTTGACGACATGCTGGTGGCGGCACACAACCTGCAATTGGTCGAGGCCGCCAAGCCGGCCATAGCTGGTTGCTTCGCAGTACGAGACCTTGGAGAGGCGCGCTACTACCTCGGCATGGACATCATCCAGGACCGCCGCAAACGCAGCATCATGCTTACGCAGCACAGTGCTGGGCATCACTTAGATCGCCAGAGGAGGAGTGCTGAGGGCTTTGAGGATCGGCCTCACTTCATTCCTTTTTTCCAAACGCCAAAATGGCCTGTTTATTACTTTTAAGGAATATATTACTTTCAAAAAAGACACTGAGCTGAGTACCGGCCATAGAGGGCTGTCCTTGCTGCTGTAAATTAATGCGAAAAACGATAGCCTTCAAACCGGTAACCAGTCCCGGTTAATGCCCAGTAACGATCAACCCGGTAACCCAATCGTAACCACCCCGATTAACGACCCCCGGTAACCATCCACCTGGTAACCGGTCTCCGCATACCCCGTTAACGACCTAAATTGCCCGATAACCGGGCAAGTCTATGTGGTAGGGAAGCTACGCAGGCGACGGGCGGGCCCCGCACTGGGTACGGATGGAGCACTGGAAGTCCAGCCATGAAATACCAACAGGATAGCTCTTCGAGATTTTTCTTTTAAACAAATTCTATTACATAGAACAAATGATGCGGATACATGCCGCATAATCCATGGGATGCCATAAGTAGGTCTCCGATCATTACCCTGCTGGCAAGAAGTCACCTTTCATATTACACGAATATTATGTACAAATATAGGATTGAAGTGCACTGCAGAAGGGCAGCAGAGTTTATTTGACATGTTGCACATGCAATGTCATCTGGGCCAGAGGCATTACAGCAAAGATTTGGCATAATGGTCTGTGTTTGCAAAATGGTTATGCAAGCATAGAAAGCATTATTGCTAATCGGGTGAGCCGTATCAGATCTAAGTACGTTCCCCGAACAAACGGGATGCGCAATCGACGTTAGACTTTCAGAACCGAGCGAAAAGACAGAAATCCCTGCTCCGAATATTAACGCTTACAGTCCATCATCCTTACTTAGCGTTCCATGCGCCGCGGAGCTAACTCTTCATCCGTTTCCTTCCTTACAATGCACATCCGTCAGGGCCAGAGTCTTTGTAGCAATCTTTCATATTCAGCACGCAATGAACCCTTCATGGACACCAGCTGCATTAGCCTGGCTTGTCGTCCTTGCGGCAGCCTGGGCAAATGGCCCAACGCGATTTAAGTATGCTGCTGCTTGCGGCCAAGAAACAAGCATTCCAAAACTGTCATATCATCCCCTGGTTTCGTTGTATTTGGTTTGCATACAAGTCGACGTGGATACTACCTGCTGTGACCGCCGTATCAGAAGACACTTTTCCTGTACGGGCGGAACCAACAACAGCGAAGTTCAAAAAACCCGACTAGTAGCTAAAACTCAGCATTCATAGAGTTAAACGTCCCCGTCTGTGACTTGTACATAACAATCCAAGCATCTCCTAAGCGTCTTTCTCCCCCTTCGTAAGGCCATCGCGTCCACCAATGCACGTCTTACATCCGCCCAGTACAGTGCCGTTGAAGCTGTGACGTGTAATATGAACGCTTAAGTAATTCATGAACATCCGCTGCGTTTGCCTAGCATTGTCGTAAAGGAGGTCGCGTCGGCATCAGGCCATCAACGTTGCGCCCAGGACAACACTTGCTGCAGCCAAGAAACAGAAAGTATATCTCTATTCGTTCATCCCCTTAGTCTTAGGGTTGCCCCTAAGACGACGTAGATACCACCTCCTGACACCGCCGTACCGGAAAGCACTTTTCCGGTACGGGCAGAGCCAGCAGCATTCCAGGTTCAGAATTGAACCCAAAGGCAGAAATCACCATTCTGAGAGTTGAACGTCGCCATCCATGATTTAGACATACCATTCCATGGCCTGTGCATGCGCGTCCATGTCCTTCACTACGTTGCCATCACGTCCACCAACGCACACTTGACATCCGTCCTGTCCAGAGCCGTCGTCGCGAGCTTCGACAACATGAATGTAAGCAACATTCGGAACATCCGTCCTGTTTGCATGGGATTGTCGTCCTCCCGCCGGCGGAAAAGCCCCTCAACGTATTGCTTAAGAATTCCTACCCAAGCCTATAACACAAATATAATAACATTGTCCTAGCATTCCATAGCCCTACTTGACTTGCCTAAACAAGTCCACAGCAACGAGTTGCCCCGGTCGGACCCTCCAAGTCTAGCCCAGTAGCTTACTGTGGGCTGACGTTAGTGAACATGGAATGCAAGCTGTGTGTGTGCTCATCCCCTTTGAAAAAGGTTTGACTACGACTTGACACACAGACTCCCTCCTGCAACAAATGTACATTTTCCGTACGAGCGTGACGAGCAACATAAGAGATCCAGAACCGACCACACCGGCAGAATTCATCGTTCAGTTCCTTAAACCTTCATTTACGGTTTCCCTACAAACAGCTCCATGCCTTGGATATGCGTCTGTTTTCTTCCTTACGAACATCACATTTTACGTTCGTCAGGGCCAGAGTCTTTGTAGCAATCTTCCATATTCAGCACGTAATGAACCCGTCATGGACATCAGCTGCATTAGCCTGACTTGTCGTCCTTGCGGCAGCCTGGGCAAATGGCCCAACGCGATTTAAGTATGCTGCTGCTTGCGGCCAAGAAACAAGCATTCCAAAACTGTCATATCATCCCCTGGTTTCGTTGTATTTGGTTTGCATACAAGTCGACGTGGATACTACCTGCTGTGACCGCCGTATCAGAAGACACTTTTCCTGTACGGGCGGAACCAACAACAGCGAAGTTCAAAAAACCCGACTAGTAGCTAAAACTCAGCATTCATAGAGTTAAACGTCCCCGTCTGTGACTTGTACATAACAATCCAAGCATCTCCTAAGCGTCTTTCTCCCCCTTCGTAAGGCCATCGCGTCCACCAACGCACGTCTTACATCCGCCCAGTACAGTGCCGTTGAAGCTGTGACGTGTAATATGAACACTTAAGTAATTCATGAACATCCGCTGCGTTTGCCTAGCATTGTCGTAAAGGAGGTCGCGTCGGCATCAGGCCATCAACGTTGCGCCCAGGACAACACTTGCTGCAGCCAAGAAACAGAAAGTATATCTCTATTCGTTCATCCCCTTCCCTATGGCATAAACATGCCGTACCGACCGTTTGGGGCCCATA